GCAGTACTGGGGATATGGTATCAGGGCTGCCTTGTCACAGGACACCGACAGGCACATTACATCTCCAGAAGCACTGGGGCACAACATGATCCACCTAACCATGTAATAGGAACACCAAAGGGATATCTGTCTGCCATCCATCATCCTGAAAATGTAGATGCACTCTTATGCCTGCAAGTGGCAGGGCTGTGCCCTCCCCCCATTTTACCTGAGAAAGGAAAAGCCACATGTCCTAACACAGAATAAGCAGCAGAGAGCTATGGCCGTGGGCAGGGAACTCAGAGGGTACCAGCGTCCTCCCTGAGCACTACGTTAGCAGTGGAAGCAAAGAAGATCTTTGCGGAAGGGAGACATCTGCCACCTGCCTGGCCCTCAGAGATCTTGCCAGAATCTCAGCTGCTGTGAAAGCCAGCCTAAATCTTGAAATCTACAACAGTGAGTGCTTAGGAATTAACTCTTGACACCACAAAAACAAAGACTAAGGCAGGCAAGTAGGCAGGCAGGCAGGCCTGGGCTGCCCACAAGGCAGGAAGAACATGGTGAGCCCTCAGCCTTCTGAACTATGTTCAAATTCAAAGGGGGTGAGGAGCTTTATTTCATACTTCCTGCCCACAGGCAGAAGAAGGAGAGCTAGTAGAGACATTCAGTGCTAGGGTTCCTCCCCGACAGATGATCAGTACTGTTCCCAGGAAGTCTGGGAAGCACTTTCCTGGAGAGAGTGGGGCGTACTGCCTTGATGCCAGTAAGATATGTAAGAACAATGAAATAGTTCAGAACAGATTCATGTCTGGTCTCAGCAATCCAAGCACTCCTGAGTCCAACGGAGGCAGGAAGAAGACTCGGAGTATGTTGTACAATATGAAGCTGCCTAGGAAGGTAGAGCTGGCGCATCTGCCATACGGATCTGGGGCCCCCGCTGGTTAAAAAAAAATAAGGGCAGAGCGAGGCAGCCAAAGTAAGATCAGTGTTTTCTTAGGCTGAGCTTTTGGGTCTGGTCTGTAAGCCCTCAGGCCTAAGAGGTGAACAGGGAGCCAATGTCAGCAATTGCATTTATTTATTTAGACAAGACACTAAAGTTTAAGTGTATAAAGAATGTGTAAGACCAAGGGAAGGCCAACATCCAGTTTTAGACTCCATCACACTGGGTTAGACAGCACTGAAGACCTATCGGGGGCTTCCACAAGCGCCCACCTGCTGTTACAGGACAGGCCTCTGTGGGGGCTTCCACTGTATCACTTGTGGGTTTCTGAAAATTCTATCAATATTTACTTTACTACTGGTTGAAAACTACTGGGGACTCTAGAAATGTTCCAGATGTGGGAATATCTGTTTAATGAGATCTCCTAGGGACAGTATAAACATGAAATTCACTTGTTTCATACACACAATTTGATAGAATAGTTTTAGTGCACACCTGTGCTCTGACTACAGCCCCTACATTTATCTTAGCCAGAGTACAGAGGAAAGGAGGGAAATAGACTTGCCAGTAAATTGTATCTCAGAATGTATTAACATTCTGGGCCATCTTCCGCTATGCAGCTCTTCATTAAAGAGGCACTCCACCCAGCTCCGTCTCCTTTTATCTACATCTGTACAGTGCAAACTTCTTGACGCTAATTCAGCTGTACTCTTTGTACATACAACAATAATTTAATAAAATTCAACTTGCTGTTAACTGCTTTAAAAATATGCAAGTACACGCGCATTGATCATGTAATCCTAGCTTACCCTCAGGACATTAAGCAATTGGTATAATAACTTTAAAGACAATCAAGCCTTATTTGTGCTTTCCAGGTACTTTAAAATCCTTAATGAATACTTTGGGAAGTACTATTATCAAGAAGAAAATGTACATGGAAACAGTTTAATATTTAGTTTTTGAAAAAAAAGGTGTTTTTTTCTTTTTCTTTTTCACTTAAAGTCTCCAAAAGTTCTGTTGGTTTTGATTCTTCTAAGAAGTCTGAGGAAACTGTTAGAAGACTTTAATATGGTTTGGATAGTGAGTTATAGATATGTTAATAGCTATAGCTCAAAGGAGAAATTACCCAGAAACGATTAGCCTCAAGACTATTTTGGATATTAATAACATATAAGGAGGTAAGCAGCTTGCAGGAGACACTGGCACATCCCCGCCAGAGACAGACTTCCTGTGCAGGAAGCAGCCACCCTCCCTGTCGATCTAGTCTGAAGTTTGAAAGCATCGAGTGATCTCATGACCAATACTGGGTACCGGCTGCTGCTAAATTAAGGACTGAATGATTTAAGAACTCATTAGGTCTCTGTTTTGCTCATAAAAGCATGGTAGAAGAAGAGAAAGGTAAATATGGACATTGGCCCTATGCTAAAAATATGAAAGGAAAAAAAGATAATAAGGCTCAAGAGTATGGGATGAAGAATAGTCAGAGAAAGTTCTGAAGACTAAAAAGTTACATTGGAGAAGGGGTAGATTTGGATGTGAATAGAAGGGGTGGCATGTCGGACAATAAGAAAATGTGGGTATGGGGCAGAGCATAGAATGACCAATTTAAAAAGTAAATTAGTTAGGATACAGACCCCCGGGACAGCATCCTGGCCTAGCAAGCAGATACCTTTACCCCATTTTAGCCCCTTCTAGTTTCAATTAACTTTCCCAGGACCCTGGGGAGAAGGTTTGCAGAAAGGACCTGATTAGAACTTAACAACCAGTCATGAATGGTTGGACTGGACCAATAAAGTGTTATCTTCAAAAACCTAATAGAAGTAACCAATCCAAGCACATCCCAGGGTATGAGAACCCCTAGACTCTCCTTGGAGAGAGAAAGAGACATGGACAGAGACCCACCTAAAGAAGAGAGGATAGATGACTGACCTAGAGAACACACCATGGGCAGAGAGAGCAGCAGTGCCAGGGGCCTTTGAGAGCTAGGTACATCTCTTCTGAGTAAAATTCTTCACACTCATTCTCCATTATCCTAAACTTCACTCGTCCAAAGTCCTGAGATGTAAGTCTGAGGAGGCTTCAGCAATACTGGCAGGGGAGATGCAACACTGATCGGCACTGTCTGCCCTGGGATGCAATGCTAAGCAGGTGTTGCCTGACACAAGCTGCCACCCTAGTGGTCTCTGCTAGCTGCGAAATCAAAAGGCCTGTGTGAGCTTCTGCCCACCCGCTGAGAGCAGCAGCAGCAAATTCTGTTATCAGAAGGTCAGCAAACACTTTCATTAAAGTAAATGTCCTGCTATCTGTGGGTAAACATTTACCGAGACCATCCTCAGTATCCATGTACGAGGCCTATTCACACTGTTTTCATCTCATAATCAACAAACAAAGCTGTCGTGAAAGAGGCATGATCAATAGGGCAGCTTTTCAGGAGACATCTCCTCCTCCTTTGGAGCAGCTGCATTCCTGGGCTTGGGAGACAACAGCTAGAAGGAGGTGGGGGAGGGAGGAACAAAACCACCCAAACCAAAGATCGGGCTTCCTTCCTCCTTTTCCTTTCCTTCCTATTCTTCCCTTCCTTCCCTGAGCAGTATCTGCTCCATCTTGTTGGTACACAAAGTGTTGAGGTGTTAACAGCTAAGGAGGCCCTTGGTGATATTAACTTACCTTCCATTTACCTCCAGCGAAATCCCACCTTAATTGGCTCAATTCTTAATTGAAATGTGATTCACCACAGTGGGCCAATGAACCCCCACAGTAAGAAGACTAAGCCGGACCTGTAGGTTTGCCTGTTGGCTTTGCTATTAAATATTCAACCATGTATCTGTTGGACTTAAAAGTGACCCTTTTCCCTTTGTCTGGATAGGAGTATAAAAGATTAGGCACTTCCCACATGGGAAATACTGCTCTCACCAGCATGTCTTCCACTACTCTTTTTCAAAGCAACATTAAGGTGTGTCCTTCATGGATTTAGACAGGAGAGATAGTGTTTCTATTTAATCATCTGCTCGAGACAAAAGAATGCATGCCACACTAACTTTCAGCAAGAAAAGTGTGCATTAAATTACTTCTGAAGCTCCCCGAAGAGTAAGCCTTACAGGTTTGGGATTGCATGACAATTAAGTAATAATGAAAGGGAACTCATGTCGTTTGATCAAATAATGCATTAATCCTTCTATACACTGTGTACCATTATACACTCTCTGGGAAATGTTGACTTTTGCGGGTAATTTTTATTTCTCATTCCACAGGACAGGACACAGGTAGAAGAGAAAGGAGCTGGGCAGGCATCGGGTAAGACAATGGGAAGAAGGATGCCTGGGAAGTCTCTGATAAGAATTCCTTCTCATCCAGCAGAGAGAAAACCCCAGGTGGATTTAATGAAAGGGTAGAGTCATTGCATACGGATCAACTTACACAGAGCATTTTCTGCAGAACGATTTTCATCTCCCAGGAACCCCAAACTCATGGAGCCTGCTACCTGGAGCAGGACTAGGTTGGAGTTTAAGAATCTTCTTCCAGTTGCTGCTTAAGACCGGGTTCACTAAGCAATTAGCAGTACATCCAGACCCTCCAGGGAGGCCATGGAGAACAAGTTTTTCAAGCCCTTCAGAAGCGTTTATATATACCTAACATGCCATTAATCATTCTTATCTGTTCATTAAAGCAGTCTCCCTTAGGACCTCTGCCAGTTCTTCCTCTGCCTGGTTCTTTTTATCTACATACCTGAAAAGGGGTTCCACTTCCTTTGAAACGTCTTTTCTCATTGAGTTCATATAGGGTGTAGCCTACCAATACATGTGAATTTTCAGAGTTTTATTAAGTAGACAGACCCTTCTCTTGAAAGTCTGCGTGGAAGGCTAACCAAGTAAAGCTTGGTTTTGGACTGTATTAGGAAATAGGACGCCAGAGTCTCCTGTCTGTATCAATCCATGTTGCTTCCCCTATCCCCCCACAACAGGAAGTGTACATTTAATTCACTTGGTGGTCTAATTGGTCTAAAGATAGAAGAGAAACCAGATACTGTATCGTCAAAAAGCAGTCAGTTCGAAGTGTCATGTCAGTGGTTATTTGACCATACCTGTGCCTGAGATTCTCCCACGACCACATTCAGGCCTTGGCTGGTTCCTGGGTCCATCCATCCCAGCACAGCTAGCAGGGAGGCCCCAAGCAGTGTGAGATGCAGCCAAAGGCTTCCTGGTTGCATTTTGTTGAGTCTGTCAAGAAAATGACAAATGCTCTCAGCATAAAGCATTGCAAAGTACACACGGAGTCCATGAGTTAATGCCTACATTCCCGAATCTCAGAACTTGAAACTCAAGTTCAAATCTCAGCACCAACCCTGCTGCTCTAATTTGGAGAAGTTACATAACTTCGAAGCCTTACTTTACTCATCTCCAAAATGGGGACAATAGTATGTGCCTCTCACAGAGGGTCACTGTAAGAACCGACGGAGGTACTGTCCGGCATACAGGAAGAATGCTGCAAAGGCTAGCTCTGAGGTAGCATCCCACTGGAAATGCTACCCGCCATGACTGTATCTACAAGGACAAACCCAGAGGTGGGTCACCTCTATTGGGCATGTCCATGACTCACTCTCTTGAGACAGCATTTGGGGTATAGTGTACCCAATGAAGGGTCAAGAAATAACCATGAAGAATTATTTTAAAGGTACAACTTGCTGGTGGCTTACCTCACCAAAATTTTCAAGATGGTAAGGCTTCAATTGACAGCCTAAGGAAGGTCTACTATTTGAGGTTTGTGACCCAGTGGTTTTTGTAGTAAAATACTACAGTCCCATGACAACAGAATTCCAATAACCATTAGGGTGTGTCCTGAGGTTCACCTGAAAATATCATTGTCTAAAGTCTTAGAAGGAGAAAACAACAACAACAACAAAACGAGCAATTTAAAGTAATCAAAGAATTCCATGCATGGAAAACGAAGGATCGGTGCGACAGATGTTTAAGTACTAATCACTCGTTCAGCACTGTGCGGAGGGAATAAAGACATACAAGAATCCATGCATCTAGTTACCTGTACTTTTTTGGGGGGAGGGGGAAGCGTGGTTACTGGGGTTTGAACTCAGGTCCTCACACTTGCTAGGCAGGCACATTCATGTTGAGCTATTCTCCAGCCCTTTCTTGTGCTGATCATTTTTGAAATAGGAGCTTACTTCCTACCCAGGCACATACCTAGAAACCTGGACCATGAGCCACCTATTTTAGGACTCCCAGTGTAGTTTGGATGACAAATGCATGCCACTACATCCAGCTCTCTTATAAGAAGGGGGTCTCACAAACTTTTCTGCCTGGGCTAGTTTCTAATTGTAATCTTCCTCTCCTCCTATCTCAGTGCCTTAAGTAGCTAGGATTATAGGCATAGAATCCTAGGAAACTTTTTGTTTGTTTTTAAATAAAAGCTTTCCACTATGAGCCTATTCCAATTATAGTTTCAGCATCTCTGCCTATGAGACAGAGCAACACAGAACTCATCCTGTGGTATGTACAACTCTTGCTCTAGGAAACTTCAGGGGTTATTGACTTCTGCCTATACCACACAATTCAGTGTTTAATTACATGTGGTCCCTACTGCATCCTGCTTGTGGTAGTGAGATGAAAACACTCAGAGCTTCTTGGAGGCTCACACCCTCCATGTCCTGGTCTTAGCTGGGCCAGGAGAAACAATGGGATCCTGTAGCTTGAAGGATCCATTCCCTGCTGGTTGACTTCCCAAGTCAACCAATGACCAAGACCCTAGGCAAGGAGCAGAGTCTGTCACTAGTGTTGCAGTCAGGGTTATCAAACAAATCCAAATCCACTCTACCACATTCCAGGTTTGGGGTTATTTTTCTTTTCTTTTTCTTTCCTTTTTCTTTTTTTGGCTGCTTTCCACACCCAAATAGAGCTGCCTCTCTACATTTGCTTTATGTCTCCTGCTTGACACAAAAAAATGCCCACAGGGAGAAGGTGGCAGATTAAAACTGTGGGCATAACACGTTGGCCTATATAAAGGCGAGGTTAGAAGGGATGGCTATCTTTTAAGAGGAGATGTCTCTTTGTTTTTAAAAGAGTCCAGAGGCTGCTGCTCCTACATCTATTTCTTCAGTCATTTATCTTTGACATGTGGCAGAGCAAAGCAGTCCAGGTGGCCAGTAGATAGAATCTGAAGGTCACAGTCTCAGCATTTGCTCTTCATTGGGAACAAAGCAGAGTTCTGCATTCTACTGTGGCTTGGGCTGCTATCAGACAGAGGCCTGTGGTATGAGTGGATCCAAGGCTCTCACTAGGGTGGGTGAATGCTTACAGGACTAAGGAGGAGGAGGGAAACAAACAACAACAACAACTAAAAACCAAACTCACATTCAGGACTAAAAGAGGATGAAGTTACATTCATATTACAACTGGTTTTTCTAAAAACAAACAAACAAACAAACACCTTAATACTTCCCATAGAGTATCCCCTTCCAGAGACTACCGAAAATGGCTATTGGATGTTTTTGCAATTTTGAAAGGGGAAAAAGAGAAGGCAGTCCTGGGGCCTCAATTCATGGCCTGGGCACTGATCCTGAGCTTTTTTGCTCGTGGTTGTTTTGCTCACATGAGACATAGCTCCACTGCTGGCTTTTTGGTGGTTAATTGGAGCTAAAGAGTGTCTCAGACTTTTCTGCCAGGGCTAGTGTTGAACCAGCATCCTCAAATCTCAGCCTCCAGAGTAGCTATGATTATAAGCATGTGCCACCCACCAGCACCTTAAAAAGCCAGCCATAATAACTCAAGCTAGAACTGGAAAGACATTGCTTCTTACTCATTTATGAACTTTTCCTAGTCACTCATCAAATTTTTGCTTGTGGAGCAAGCACACATATTAAAGATCTGCTCTTCTCCTTTTCTAGGTCTCCTAGCCCAAAGATGAGATTTATTCTAGTCATGTACAGGTGCCAACTCCTGCAGTTACGAAAAATACAAGCCACAACATCTAGTTATTTTGATTCCAACCTGCCTTGTAATCTGAGACCAATTTTGTGTGGTTTTATTATTAATGGATATTATCAAATAATAAAATCCACTCATTTTCGTTTAAATTTTTGGCAAGTACCAAATTGCTTAATTCCAGAACGTAGACTGGTTTCCTTTTTCTCCGATTCTTTTCTTTACCAGTACTAGAATTTGGGGCCTTGTGGTTACTTGAGTTGCACCCTCAGTCCACAGCTTTCAGAAACCAGGAACTTCAGCCATGCTACACTTGGAGCCACACTAGTTTTATCTGGTTTGCACTGAGGTTCCCCTTCAAGATTTTACTTCAGAGCTGGGCATCAGTGGTTCACTCCTGTAAGCCTAGCTATTCAAGTGGCTGAGATGTGAGGATAGCCATTTGAAGCCAGCCCTGGCAGGAAAGTTCTTGAGACTCTTATCTCCAATTAACCAGCAAAAGAAAAAAAAATCTGAAAGTGGACCTGCGGCTTAAGTGCTAGGGCAGTAGCCTTGAGTGAAAAAGAGACGGTGGCTAGGCACGTGTGCGTGTGCATGCATGCACACACGCACACGCACACACGCACGCACGCACACACACACACACACACAGATACAATATTTTATTTAAGGACAGGAAAGCCCATGAACCAGGCCAGCCTCTGAAATCTTCCCAGGCAGCAGTTTCTTTGTAAAATTTAACTCAGTTTGACCACTATCAGCTCTGATTTCACTTGCACAATAGATGTGTCTTAGGTGTCATTTTTTCACTTATGATGATTGACAACCCACTAGATTTATGCCAGCAACAGCCCCGAAATTTACAACTCAAGTTTTATGACAGTTTGGTTCATGAAAAAAAAAGAATTGATATTGGCTCTAAATCAATTTTGATGAGCTGTCTAACAACTAAATAGATACTACCGATTTGGCTAACACCTACATAGAAATTATTATATGTCAGGCACCATTCTCAATGCTTTACAGGTACTAAGTTGTAATCTTCACTTTTCTATTCCATGAAGAGGGTAATGATTATCCCTACTCCATCTCCTGTCAGATGATGGAGGTGACAGGGTTTTGGAGGGGTTAAGCACTCTGCCGTGGTCACATGGTAAGTAGCAAAAGTTGAGACTGTCCCAGCCCAATGCCACAAGGACCACAGTCTATGCTGTTAGCCCTATCGAGGCTGCCTCTCTCCCTCAGTGATGCTTTAGCTTGACAAACAGTTCTTTTTAGGATATTTATATAGAGCAAGATGGAGGCCTGACCCTGAGTGTCTTCTTTCCTCTGAAAGCCACTGAGAACCCTCCTCCTTTAGTCTTCCTGACTCTTGACCCAGGCTAACGTTGGATTCATGACAACAAAGTCAGACTTACTTTCCTGCCCCCTATCCCAAGGCAGGTACCACTTGGTATCTCCTCAGCCCTTATATTTACTGCTCCTCTATTTACAGGCCAAGAAAAAGAATGCACCAAAAAAAAAAAAGAAAAAGAAATCATGAGAAATTACACTCAATTTCCAGCAGCAAGGATGCCCCCAGCATTGGGGAAGTCAATGTATTGTTAAATTAATTACTCCTCAAACTCAAACAGCCCTATAGGCTTTCAGAGAGAGGAAAATACATGAACTCCCCATTACAGAGCTGGGACTGTGCCATCTGGGAGGTCACAGCACAACTTCTGTCTTTCAACCTGGAGCTCTTTTTGTGATTTGTTTTTAAGGATTATCAATTTCATTCAATTCTGCGAAGTCATAAGCATTGGTTATCAATTTAGAGTGGTCCTCATAGAAAGAGTGGGAATTTTCCCCCCAAGCAATTCATGAAGAATAATCACTTGATAGTTAAGACATCTTGTTTTGCCTGGTGCTGGTGCCTCTAATCCTTGCTACTTAGAGAGACTGAGCTCTAGAGGATTGAGTTTTGAAGCCAGCCCAGACAGAAAAGTTGGCAAGATTCCATTTTCCCATTTGGCAAAATGCTAGATCAGAGGTGTGTCAAGAGAAGGGGAAAAAAAAGGCCCTGCAAGAACACAAGGCCTTGAGTTTAATCCTCCAGTAGGCGCACACTCACACAAAAAGATACCTTGTTTTGAAAGAGGTACCTCTGAGCACTGAGACTGAACTTTTCCCCAAGGCTGAGAGAATTGCTTGCTGCGTGTACAGTGTAGCAGAGGCCAGAAGGCTGAGGGATTCACCTTAGTTTTGAGGCCAAACCAGCGGCCCGGCAGCCTCAGCAACCCATCTCTTGGGCAACTGTTTTCTTGAGTTACTGCAAATTTACATGTAGAGTTTATGTTTGCATCCTCTTTCTAGATAGATAGATTTTGCTATTGTGAGTCATGAAAGAGTGCCACCAGCTCAATCACTCTCTCCTTGTGCAAACTCCAGCATTTTCTAGTATTGTTAAGATAAGCTGATTATTCGTGCTATTGTGTTTTTGTATTTAAAATTACAGATGTATAACAAATCAGTGTTGTAACATTCCAAATACTGACTTGCTTTTTGAAGAAAGTTGAAAAGGCATAAAATAAGAACACATATTACCAGGGGGGAGGTGGGGAGAAGCGGAGAATGGGCATTAATCTGAAAATTCTAAACTCTGCCCCACTCAAAGAACACATCACTCAAGCTGGGTTTTTTTGTTGTTGTTTTTAACAGGCTCAGAGGCCAGAGAGAAGCACTGATTTTACACTGGCCTTGGGCTTACAATGATTCTTATCTACCCTAGAAATCATCTCTGTTGGGAGGAGTGACAACACTAACCCTCTTGAGTTTGGGGACATTGTGCACCAGTCCTCTCTGGGCCTCTTTGCAGAACACAGGAACATTTACCAGACCAGTCATTATAGATTAGCTACACACAAATGGCTTCTCTGTAATCAACAAGACCAGAAATTACAAGGCTGATTTGATACAACCAAGCAATACCACCCAGCCTCTCAAAGAGAACAGTTAAGATTTGTGAGCCCGCACCATCTGAATTCCCAATCTTTCAAACTGAAAACCAACCTGCTCTAGCAATCACCTGGAGTGGGCTGCATTTTACATGTGACAGGTTAACAATCAACAAACAGAAATCAGCTGGAGAACATCAGAGCCCTGCAGTGCTCTTCCAAATCCCTGCCCAGTTCTAAAAGGGGGAGGGGAGGGGAGAGGTGTGCATATAAACTCTAGGCTCATTTTTGCTGGAAAACTTAGAACCTTAGTTTTTATTCATGAGTATTTCTTGAGGAAAGGGGAGGGTTTCAAATTTACCAAGATAGTCTCTAAAATATCAATACAAAGAAAAATAGACATGGAAATATATCAGACAAACTTTGTAGCAAACCATAATAAAGCCAAAATTGTATTTTCTATTAATCACTCTGTATTTTCCAACATTGGATAAACCAGATGTTGAAATTATTCTATGCACAACACATGAGTGCATGACATTCCTATTTACCATGAAGTCTAACGTGCACGCAAACGGCTTCCAAATAACCCTGGCCCTTCTGACCATCAGTTAATACCTCTTAAGTATCACATTCTCTTGAATGTAATTCTGTTTTGACATTCCATATGCCGTTTGGTGCCTTAAGAGACAGAGAATGTAAGGAAAGATATGCTCTTGAAATACCTCTTTAATAGCATTAAGTCAGGAAGCACCTGACTGACCACACATAAGCAACACAGAAGGCTGACTTTGCAGAATAATACCCTGAAAGACAAGACAGGCAGAAGGTAGATTTGTGAATTCTGACTGTGAATTCAATGCCTGTCTCGGAACATTGCGTTAGGGCAAACAACAGATCACAACATGAGGTCACTTAAAAAAAAAAAAAGTCCTTTAGTACTTAGCAGGAAAAGCAGCATAGCAGCTGGCAGCCCAGTCTCCCCTTCTTTCACCCACCTGCGAAGAACAGCCACAGGGATCAAAGTACCCCCAGGACCCAGGAAAATAAGCCACTTTCTGGAAGAAAAGGAGCCTTCTTGGAATTAGCAAAAATAAAAATAATAAAAAAAATTGAGGGTAATCATAAAAGTCTAGGGAAAAAAACTAAAAACGACTGGGACAACAAATTTGATTTTAATACGTCCAATTGACTTTTAAAAAAATATGCATGACCTTTGACTTGAGTCATGCAAGTCTTTTTGGGAGAAAGCAGTGTCTGGTTTTCCCGAAATGGGCGAGGTGGAGGGGCGGGGTGGGGGATGGGGGAAGACAGCCAACAGCTGAAGCCGGCAGAGGTGGTCTGATGGTACCGCAATGCCTCACGCAAGGCTTGGGCCAGGATGCTGCCCCGTGCCCTGCAGGGCACCCGACTCCAGGACTGACGGGGCGGTGCTGGGCCTCCCTGCCACCACCAGAGCCCACCCCTGGGGGTCAGAAGGGCAGAGACTGGCGTTCCCCCGGGCGCTCAGGGCAGACGCTGTTCAAAAGGACCTCGGGCTTCTGCAAAGATCCGTGGTGGGGGGGAAAGGGAACTTTGGGTTCTAGAAAAGTCGACTCGTCTCTCCCAGTTCTCCTTTTTCCCTTACCCACTGGAAATCAGGGGCGCACCAGTCTCCGCAGGTTACCTTATCACCTCCGATTGAGCGCCCCCCCCCCAGCCCCGCACTGACTGAGGTGGGAACCGACCGAGGGGCCTCGGGCGCTGGGTTCACCCGGCTCGGAAACCTCGGCGGAAGCGACACCTAGAGGGGACGGGGAGGTATGCCGCGACGGGATGGGAACGGGGGGTGGGGGGGAGTCCGCCAACTCTGGTTCCCCGACGGGGAGACCTAGCAGGCCCCCAACTCCCCGGGAACTTCCGAGGAGGCCGCCGGATGCTGCGCGAGTCCGGGGCGCGGGTGAGAGCGCGCTGGGGCTTTTCCGGCTGGTGGCTGCCCGGGCCGGAGTGGCAGGGCCGCGAGTCCTCAGGTGGCCGGGGCTCGGGCGAGCGCGCGTGGAGACCCTCTCCGACCCCCCCCCCGCACCCCGGCTCCTGTCACGTCGCGGGGGTCCCCAAACTCCGGGCGACACGCGGCGGCGGAGGAGCGCTCCGCCTCCGTGCCCCAGGTCCCCCAGAAACTTGGGAAGGGGGCGCACGCACAGTTCCATCTCTGTTAGGACTGATCCCCCCCCCTCCCCGCCACGGACTGACACCGGCCCCCCGCCCTCGCCGGGAGCCCCGAGCGGCCGAGTTCTGGCCGCCGGCGCCGCGGGCCTCGGGGCTGCGGCAGGGAAACGCCAAGTTGTCCCGCCAAGCGCCGGGAAACGGGGTGCGGAGGACGCCCGCCCCGCGCCCCGAGCCAAGGGCACGGGTCCCACCGAGGGAGGGGCTGCGTCCCGCCGAGGCCGCCCCGGGGGTCCGGGATCGGCCCGCCTGGAGGCTGCTTGGCACCCAAGAGGTCGTTCCGCGTCCCCCCCCCGCACCCCTACCTGCACCCTTAACACCCCCCCCCTTCCCCGCAGACCCCGGCCACAAGCCTCGGTGCCCAACCGGTGGCGTTAAGTCCTAGCTCGGACAGGATGCCCGGCCGAGCCACGAGTCCCCGTGGTCCCCGAGCCCGCGGCTGGGCGGGCAAACTTGGCTCCCCCTGGTGCGGGCAGTGAGGACCCGCGAACGCCCGCGCCGGGCCCTGCGGCGAGACGCGGAGCTGCGGGCGCCGGGACGCCAGGCGGGAGCGACGGGACCCGAGTGGCCGGGCAGGCGGCAGCGGGTTCGGGCGCCGCCGCGCCTTCTCCGGAGCGGTGCCCGCTTACCTGCTGTGGCCGGGGGGGAGGTCCGAGGGGGAGGACCAGGTGGCCGGACTCGGGCGGGAGGGAGGGAGCGCCCCGTGGCGGTGGCGGCGGGAGGGGGGGGTGGGTTGGCGACCCAGCCCCGCGTCCCCCCTTTGGCCGGGTCTGTCTCACTGGCTGTCGGCGGGTCCCCGGCGCGCTAGAGGCTGTCCAGGCTCCGGGTCTCCGAGCTCACCGCCGCCGCCGCCACCGCCGCGGCTGCCCTATTTCTGCCGCCGGGACCAGAGCCCGTGACGTCACCCCCGGGCCCCGCCTGCTCAATCGCCGCCACCTGTGCGCGCCGCCCGCC